CTGTTGATAACTTTCTCCCCTGGTGGGGGGGCTGTTGATAACTTTCTCCCTGCAGCCTACACAGCACCTCTCAGAACTATGAAAGCCATTAGGGCTAAAACTTTCTGAGCAGTATCAGCGTGATGTCTCCAAGCCCTCTGACCAGAGTGTGTAATGTCTGCAGCAACAGCCGCACTGTCAGGCTCTGCTGGGTGACTAAGAGTGACGGCGCTGACCTGCATTGTTTGGGATCCTCTGGGACTCACTCCCATGATTTATTTTATAACTTAGGGGGAGGTTAAAAAATTACCACTGTCTGGGGGACCAGCTTCCAGCAGCACAGGGCTTTAATAGGAATCCACAGAGTCGGCGAGGCTAAACTTTTCTATCTGAGGGGGGTTAGGGAAAAAGGCACTCACAAACTCTCTCGGTGGTTTCCTTCTTTATTCTCTCTCTCTCCTCTCAAGATGTTTTGCCGTTTTATACCCCAGCAGAATCTTCCAGGCAGTACAAGAGTCAAAATGGTTGCATTCCATTTCTCAAGTGAATGATTGTAGGTAAAAACATATTTTCATCTCCCTCACATGATTAAACATTTTATGTATTACAGGTGAAAGACAAATTATCCCAAGAACACATGTATATTTATACCCAAGCAACTTGTTATAGATTAACCATGTGTCAAGAAGGGGTTCTTGTCAGGTCTTTTACTGGCAGGCTGCATTTTGCAGTTACAAAGAAAGGGCCAATTACTTTATTACTTATCTTGAAGGTAATCTTATAAGGAATCTTAATGGAATTACAAGTCTAAACTTTTATACATGAAAAAAATCTTTAGGTGCATACCCACTCATTAATAGTTTTTTTAATATCAGGTGATTGAGGGCAGAAATGGGTATAAGAAATTAATTATCACATTTAGTCATCAACCAAACCTAGCAAGGAGAGTACATCAGCCAGTAATAATTGGGCTGCTTTGTTCTTGTTCCCTGACCTTAAAGAGTTCCACATTCAACTATGTGACTTTCTAAGACTTTAGATTGTCTTCTTGGATTTTTCACCTTAAAGTTATTTAACAAAAACATCTTAGTCGAACTTTATTATTTTCAAAGCTTTGTTTCAGTTGTAATGCACTCTGAGATCTATGAACGAACACATCTCCTAACATTAAGGTCAAAAGAATTTAAACTAGCTGGGCTACTGGGACTCAGTTGTTAGCCATTAACTTGAGCTGCAGTCCATACAGCTCCTTAGGTGAGATTCACAGACTCTGGCTGTGAAACATATCCTTGTATTTACTTTTATTCATCAAAACTCTGTATAAGCTATCATTGTTAGTTTCAAATTAGACAATACAGCTGAGAGAGGGGCCATCATCTTGACAGTCCACAGGTAAAAGTGCCCAGTAGAACGTGATGTTTCTAAGCACTAAACACACTATATCACAGTCAGTGGAGCTCTCCCCACGTCCACTCACACCATGCTAGATACCAGAGAGAGAGAACTGCAGCAAACATGTGAAGGCACAGCAGAAGCAAAAGATATTCCGGAGTCTGCAGTCCTGTGGCCTTGCTAAGCAAGGTTGGCCAATTGGGAATCAGAGGATTCCCTTCTGGTGGGCTGACAAATGGAACTACAATTGCAATTTGCTGCTCCTTTGTCATGGCCAATGGTAAAGAAAGAAAGGAAGGAAGGAAGGAAGGAAGAAAGGAAGGAAGGAAGGAAGGAAGGAAGGAAGGAAGAAAGAAAATATTTTCAATTAGGCTCATCAATACCCAATAGTTTGCAGATATTAAGCAATAATTAGGAATTATGGTCTCTGTTAAATGGTGAGGAATGATAAAGCTGAGATGTTTGAAAAAAAGAAAGGGAAGAAGTCAGGAAGAGTGTGAGATAAGGGATACAGATGGATTACACCTCAAACCTCAGGACTGATTGGATTAGAATTAAAAGATGAATCGCCAATGGTTGGTTTCTTCATTGTTGACCCGGGACATAAAGTCCAGAGAGGTTTCCTTCCTTTCATTCACCCAGCATTTCAGAGCAATTAATTGGCACTAGGGCAACAAGTGAAATCCAGACTTTCACACTTTCATGCTAGGGTGGCAAGAAGGGTCTCGAGAGCTTTTATACAACGGGGCTGTGAGAATTAAGGAGTCCATTAGAAGATTCCCGTCAAACACTTGAGTAGGGAATGATGAAGACCTTTGCAGGTGTGACTTTTGTCTGCCTTACCACACAGTGTGTGCTTATTTATAATAATCTGAGGTGGGGCGTATGTGACAAGGACTATGTCTGCCTTGGTTTAGTAGTTTCCCTAGTGTCAGTGCCTTAATATTTTTCAAAAATTATCTGTGGGGCTGGGGAAGTGGCTCTGTGGCTAAAATACTTGCCATGCAAGTGTGAGGATCAGAGTTCAGTTCACCAGAACCCCCATAAATGAAGGTAGTTATGGTGGCTAGCCTATAATTCCATCCGTGGAAGACAGAGACAGGATCTCCAGAGCAAGCTGCCTATGGAGATTAGACTTATCAACAAGCTCTGAGTTTGATTAAGAGACCATGTCTCAGTGAATAAGGAGAAGAGCTCTGAAGGATGATCCCCAGCATCAGTGCTGCACACATCCACATGCACACCCACAAACGCAAACATGCCTGTGTACACATACACATGTGAAGAGGAAAAGGGGGAAATAGTTAATAAATTGCAGCTAAGAGGTTGAGACAATGAGGGAGAAGAGGAATAACAGACCGTGTCCATGCGAACCCACTGTTCAGGGTAAAGTGTGGCCAGAATGAAAAAAGGGTGCCACTCTCTAAGAATTAGAGGGTTCTTGAGTAGCCACGATCGTCACAATCTAGCTACAGC